AAAGAGAAAGAAGAAATGAAAAAGGAAATACAAGTAAAAGAATAAACCATTAATAAATCGACAAAAGATATTATGGCATTAAAGAAGAAGCATGAGAATGAGATAAACACAAAAACCAGGAGTGAGATAAAAAATATTTAAATTCCATGCTGAATCTGAGAGGAAAATGTTTGAAGTAAACAATTTAACACATCAATTATTATTTATGAAAGATAAATTATCTAAATTAGAAAATGAAAATACACAAGAAGAAAAGAAGAAAGATGAGGTAAATTACAATATAACAGACTCGTTTGAATCACGAATTGTAAATGAGCTCTCCCCAATGTGGTAGTAGATGATGAAATATCATCAAGTGAAGATGATCTTCCAAAAAAAAAAAGAAAGTTAACTCAGAAATCCATTGAAGAAATGGATATTCAGCATAAGAATATCACTACATTTGATGATCATTATCATTATATTAAATCAGTATCTTCCACTATTAACATCATTAATAAAAATAAACAAGAAAGAAGTGGAAAGAAAAGTATAGAAAGAAATTACAATCAAAAATATGTAGATTAAGAGATTTACTCCATAATAAACAATATATGAAATTAAAAAGAATATTACATATTAAGAAATATGATATATACCACATTAAAATAAAAACAATTGAACAAATAAACTATTATAAATACCTCCGAAAGATGAAAAGAATAGAAATAGAAGCAAGAAAGAATAATTGGAAAAGAATAAGATGGAATTATAAAATGATGAAATATGGAAAAAGGCAACATCTAAATAAGCCTAAAGAAGATGAATATCCAGATAATATCTCCACTATTAATTTCTGGAAAGGAATCTATGAAACTAACACTAATATAGATTTTATCTGAATATTAATTTATATGAAATATTAATTGAAAATAGAATTAATAATAGAATATGTATAATCACTCCCAATGAACTAGATTGTGATATTAAATTTACTGCTAACTGGAAGACACAAGGAGTTGATAAAATACAAGGATTTTTGATTAAATAATTAGAACAACCAAAGAAATATTTAATAAAATTATTTAATGAATGGTTAAACAATCCTAATGAAATACATCTTCATTTTATTCAAGGAAGGACAATATTAATATATAAAAAATGAGATAAATTAGACAAACAGAATTACAGACAAATAACTTGCTTAAATTGTCTGTTAAAAGTATATACATCAATATTATTGATGAAAATAGAAAATCAATTGATGCTAAATCAAATTGAAAAACAATTATCATTAAATCAAATTTGATGTAAAAAATATACATATCATCAAAAGAATGATTATTATACAACATTATAATCCAACAATTATTAATAAATAATAAATGGAAGTTGGTAGAAACATATTATGACGTCTCTAAAGCATATGATAGTATTAATCATCAATGGATTAAACAATGTTTAATATATTTTAATATCCCACTAGCAGTAATTAATAATATATTATATATATTAAATAATACACAACTTAATTTGTATTACAATCAAGAAAGTGTAGGTATGATTAATGTAGAAAGAGGAATAATACAAATGATAGTTTATCTCTACTTTTATTTGTATTATCTATTGATATATTATCTAAACAATTAGATAAACAAATTAACAAATTAAATATTAAAATAAATGGAGAAGAAAAACAAGTTAAGTTAAACCACATATTGTATATTGAAGATTTAAAGATAATGACTAATAGCCTCGATGAAATGGAAAAATCCAACAAATTAACTAAAGAAATAATTAATGCAATAGGATTAAAAATTAATGTAGAAAAGAGTGGGATAATGACTAATATTAATAGTCAAATAAATGGTGAATTAGCTGAACTACCAAGAGTAACTAATGACAATTATTATAAATATCTTTGTATTGAAATATAAGATAAAGTAAATAATAATAAATATTGTACAAGAATATTAAATGATGTATCTTCTATTTCATCATCATTAAATATTATGAAATATAGCAGCCTCAATACAATAAGAAAGATTAATAGTGATATAATCTCCAAATTAAGATATGGATTTTGTATTGTCAAATATAAACTAGAAGAGTTGGAGAAGATAGATAAACAAATAAGAAAATCATTAATACACCTCCAATTATATAGTAGAAATATTCCCAAAAGTAGATTATATGTTAAAATAAATGAATTGGGATTATGATTAATGTCAGCAAGAGATGAATGTGGTAAAGAATTATTAAGAATATATTTAAAATATAAGTGGAGATCAAGCACAGAAATATGAGAAATGATAGAAACAATAAAAGAAAATCCAAATGGAATAATTAAAAGAATGAAGAAAGCATTTGGTAAGAAGATTAATTTTAATGAATTAATGAATATAATAGAATTAAATGAAAGAAAGCACAATGTAAAGGAAATAATTGAATTTGTAAATAATGAATTAAATGAAAGATATTTAAATGAATGGAAAGAAAAGAAATGTGGTGAATATATAAGATGTGCAAATGGCACTTTCAATGATAAGAAAATTAACAGTAGCCACATGGAGGTCATTAAATATAAAAAGAAATGCATTCCTCCAAGTAGTAAAAATGCAAGAAGGAGTAAGTATGACAGGAAGTATTAAATCAAAAAATACTCCAAAATGATGATTTAAAATATTGTAAACATTATCATAACACAATTGCATCTATTAATCATATCTTGTTAGGATGTAATGAAAAAGAATCAAATATTAAAACATGATTATGTTTGTAAACAAATATTTAAACATATATTAATTACACAATTTAATGAATTTAATGTTATTGATTTTAATACTCAATAATGTATTAATAATGATGAAATGGTTATAACTTACAATAAAGATTTATTGGTTAGTGACAATTCATTCCATGCTAGAAGACCAGATATATAATATCAAAATATTACAGAAAAGAAATGATATATCATAGATGTTGCTATATGTCAGGATAATAATTTAGAATTAAATTATATTCATAAAATAAATAAATACAAAGAATTACAAGAGAAATTAAGAAATAATAGAGAAATAATATATGTAGAAATAATACCTGTAATATTAACAATAAATGGATTAATACATAAAGAATCAGCAAGAAGATTAAAAACACTAAAATTAAAATTAGACTTCTCCAAAATCCTACAAACAATAATTATAAAAAATATGAAAGACTTAATGTTTTACACATTCAATTCTGACAGCACATTAGAAGAAGAACAATCTAATGCGAGCATGCTAGAAATGAACTCTATTACACCAATAGATCATATTGAAGAAACTGAAATAATCACTTCTCAGTATGAAGAAAATCCAATTGTGGATATATCTATTTATTAACCTTTTTTTATAACTTTTCAAATGTTTTGGTATTAGATTTTTATTCATTTAAAATATGACAGATATTTTATGTGAAAGACTGAATTTTTATTAAAAGTAAATAAAAACCAACAGTATTTTATGATTTCAAAGAAATAAAATCTCAAAGATTGGTCTAATGATAAGAATATTATTAGTCATTGTTTAAAATAAAGAAATAATCAACTTTTAGTTTAAGAAAAAAATTTGATAAGAATAAAAAATAAATGAAAGAAGGGAATTGAATTTAAATGGTTTTGTTTAAGAACTTTCTCTTATTGAAACACATCCACCATTTATCACATTTAGTTGGATCATTCTTAAAAACAGCTTGAGTTAATCTTAATCCAGTTTCATTTCTAATGGCTGTCATATATTGTCTAACAACTTCTTTCTCTGATGCTTTTAATGGTTCAACAATACCTCCAAGACAGAATTTTCCATCACCTGGAAGTGCAAAATTTTCAATAGCCAAAGAATATGCCATTTTATCACATTCGACTTTAGTATGTCCATTAAACTATTAAATAATTATTGACATTTCTTTTAATGAAATTATAAAGTTAACAAACCTTTAATAATAGTGATTGAATATAAAATATCAAATAAACTAATAGTTTATCTGCTTCACAAATTGACATATCAAAATTCTTATAGAAAACATTTGCTTTATAATAAGTTATTGCTTCATCAACAATATCCATATCATCTCCTTTTAATAAAAATTTAGGATTAACTTTAACTTTAGTTTTAAATTGCATTAATGGGAAATTCCCTGCTTTTTGAACAATGTCTTTGTCAAGTTCAGAGTGATAAGCTCCAGATCTTTTCATGAAAATCTTATCTTGTTTGGCAATTGTGGTCATTTTGGTTAATTTTTAAGTTCTTTCTTTTTAAAAGTTCACCTCCTTCAACTTTTTTTCTTTTTTAGTTCATTAAATATGTTATATATATCATAAATATATTTCTTTATTCAAAAATAAATTTAGAAAATGTTAGGAGTTATTCTCCTTTCTTCTAAAATTATTTTTCTTATTTTTACATTCAACGGGACTTTATTTAGTTTTAAATCAAAAAGTGGTAAAAATGAAAAGAAGTATAAGTCAAATAAATTAAGAAGTAAACAGATTGTGTTTAGATATTTGTTCTTCTATTAAACTGACGTCATAATGACAATATTAGAAAATGCAATGACAACTATTATTAATAAAGTGACTAATAAGAATTTAGCTTGTGGAGGTTCAACCACTTCAAGAGCAGGACGTTTTGTGATGAAAGACTTCCCGTCAGCACTTTTAATCATGTCTTTAAATTTCAAGATAACAATTAGTTAGTTTAAATATTTTTGATTCATCGATTTGTTACAATTGTAATAAATGATGAATTTTGATCGATTAAATAATCAACAATAAGAGAATAGAAAATTTACTAGATAAATAGTATTTATCTAATGACTCTTAAAAGTT